TGACATTTTTTAACAACATAGGGTGCTACATAACACACTTTCAGGAAAAGTCACGGACTGGAAGACTTTAATATTTTATTGAAAAAAAGTTACACACAAAAAAAAACAGCTCTGGGTCAAATTGACCCGGTTGGCGGTTCTAGTGTTAAATGCAAGCGCGTCGGAAAAAGTCAAGAAATGTGCGAAAACCGAAAAAAGAAGCAGCTTCTGGCTGCATTTCAATGAGTGCAGGATTTGTAAAATGAAAATAACCTTCAGAGCAGGGTTTTGTTTTGGTAACCACTCAGGATGTATTGTCAGAGGTGGGAGAAGTTCAGATCTTGTACTTGAGTAACAGTACCAGAGTGTAGGAATACTCGGTTACAATAAAAGATCCTGCATTCAAAATGTTACAAGTAAAAGTACAAAAGTATTATCATCAAAATATAGTGAAAGTACCACCTGCAGAGGGATCTAGATTCAGGTGTTCTCTTCCCCATAGAGACGCCTCGCTGCACATTATCCCTTGCATAAAGATAGGTTGTGGGTCCCTTATAACATGCTGTACACAGTGGAAATAAACATTCTGGTCACCTCAACATCAGGGATCTAATACATTAAACTCCTTCTGAATCAAACCGTCACGGTAGCCTTACCTTACTGATCCCTCTTACAATAGAAGAAAACACGTTACTTTACCAGCAGAGAGAAAATGGATTATTAAATGATTAATGTGACTAATAAAGAGCAGTTTGATTATTAAGTATTATTCTGTTGATCGATGTCATTACATTTGGTGAAAAGCACATAATGACTTGTTTAAGACTCGTTTTGTCAAAGTTTAGGACTTGGACTTGACTTGAACTTTCCCATCCTGACTTGAGACTTGACTCAGACTTGAGCGCAAAGACTTGAGACTTGACTCGGACTTGCAAAACAATGACTTGGTCCCACCTCTGCTAGACAGGCAAAAGGGACACGTAGTCTGGGTTCAAATTCAATTTGGCTCGGTGAAAACATTTTTGTCTCTTCTTATTATTTCTCAATACCCGAAAGGCAAAGTATTTCCTCCGTCTAGCAGACGTCTTTTATCAAACACCACTCTGAACTTTTTGGTGAATGACACATTTCTCAGAACGAAACCCTCTTTATTTCGTACAATGTTGTGTTGTGGGGCTTCAAGAACCCGCCCCCTCTCAGTGTTTTGAACGTAGCCTTCCACCAGATCTGTAAGACTGTCAAAGTTCACTCGTTCACAGCACTCATGCGTCTGTGTAATCCCTTTCACTCGCATCACAACCTTTTTCTGATTTTTGGTTTGGTATGCATAACTTTTAGGACCTGCAGAAACAAACTCTTTGATTGTATCGCCGCCCAACTCGTCTGTAAGATCCCCCAGATAAACCCCCATAGACAGTGGAGTCTCTCCAGGTCTTGTTACATATATGATACTATCTGTGTCGTAGTAGAAGACTCTGTGCTGCAATTTCTCCAATTCACTGTACAGTTTTAGCCTGGCATAGGCCGTGGTGAATGCTGCAATGAATATGTTATCCACCTTGTTGGGAGGGGAATGACAATCATCACCATAACACCATTGGACGAGAGCCGTCCTGTCATTGATGAATGAGAAATACTTGACCTTATGTTTAGCTGAAAACAAGAGGTTAAGAAATTCTTCTGGTTTGGTCACAATCTTAGTCTGTGTCAGATTGCTTCTCTGAGCAAATTTACCCCAGAAACTGTTGAGACATAGCTTTGACACTTGTCTTTTGGCTGGGTTTGATATGATTTTAGCTGCGTCTAGCCGTATGCCTTGATTAGCGTGGTAGTCTGTCACATACTTTTGTCTGCTCTCATCATCTGTTGCTTCTGAAGGATAACCAGATGCTTCTTGTTTACCCTTCAAGAATGTGTGTATATAATCTACAAAAATGCTGTCACTTTTGTTCTCAAAATGCCACACCTCTGTGATCTGAGTCAGCTTGTAACCCAGGTCCAGAGCCTTGTTGAATTCTGTTGTTACCCAAACTCCTGTTAATGCTCTTTCCTCTTTGCTGTGCGTGCAGGGCCCCTGTTGGTTGTTAAGCTCAGCGCATGTACGACAGAGGGTGAACACTAGCTTACCCGCTGCAGTTTTGTAAGGCAGAACTGGAAAGTAAAGACCCCTGGGAGGTTCTACGGTAGCTCTGATTAACCCGAAATAACTCTGAGGATCTTTGAAATCTCGGAAGATGATCTGAGGGTGGCCTAGCGGGTAGAGGCCTGTGCAGTTTACAAAGGGGTACAGGGAGGTGAAATCACAATAATGAATCAATTCATCTGCCGCTGCCGTGTACCTCAACTTCACTGCACACGTTCTTCCCCCGTATAAAGCAGCCCTGGGGGTCAACGGTTCTGGAGCTTTGTATTCCCTGAGGAAAGCCTGCAAATCTTGATTGGATTTTTTCATCTCACCCCATGTATGCTCTCGCATAACGATCACTTTGGCCCCGTGAACAGACTGTAGCTCATGCAGCTTTTCCTCACTAGCTGCATGGAGCCGTTCAAATGTGCCACCTGTCAGGGGGTTTTTCTCATGCCCCTTATAACACGATGGACAGCCGTGATAAAAACAACCAAGAAATTCCCAGACAATCTTTACTCCCTCAACTTCAGCAAAACCATCTACGACGAAACGTCCCACTCGTTTCTCACCTTCATTCAACGCATGTTGAATAAATACCCCCTCAGTATGAGCCACCCAATCCACTGGATACCCGCGTTGGAGTACGTCTTGTTTTCACGACGGTAATCATCGGGCGGGGGGATTGCTAGGGTTTTTGGGGGCAGAAAGTTTGTGGTGAAAACTTTCATACAGGCCGAAGCAATGGTCGCACGACTAAAAGGATCTACACCTGTCTCTTCGATGAAACCTTTTCGGAATAAAGTGGAGCCCTGTGCAAGAATGTCAACATCGTTTTTACAGTAAAGCAATGCCTGCTTTCGAAAATCAAAAGTGCCCGTGCGTACCGTCTCATACCATGCGAAAAAGTCACTCTTTTCATCAGTTGTCATGCGTTCAGTCCCATAACAGTGTGCTGGTGGGTAAGGTCCGATATAACTCAGATTGGCCTTAGAGCTGAAACCGTGAGGGAAATACCCCTTGGTTTTATCTTCGAACCCCAAAGCTTTGGGCATTGCGGCTAGACGCACAGAGAGGTAAGACAAAGAGTCGATGTACTTTTGCCTGAAAAGAAATCACCTTACTTCCCTGCATTATCAAAGATGGTTTTAACCCTTGTTCAATCATTGCATTGATAATGAGATAGCTGTCAAAACCCTTAGCATTGTGAGCGATGAAGGTTGCATTCTTGAACTTGGGGCGTCTAAAGTGTGTCAGAAACTGCAGTGCACAGTCGGTGCCCTCAGCGACCCAAGTTTCGCCTGCAAGGGTTTTTGTACACACCAGGAAGGGGACATGTACACCGTCTGCCCCCGCCATTGTTTCAAAATCATAAAACACTATGTTGTCGTTGTGTTCTGTCTCAGGGGGTAACACACCAATGTAGCACAGATGTTCTACACACTCGCCTGTTGAAGCAGATGGTAATTCTTCATTGCATGTATTGCATTTTTTCACCTGACACTTGTGTGTT